CCTGGCCTGCCTCCTACCCCTCCCTGAGTTCATCTTTGAAAAGAGGGTGCTGGATGCTGGAAGTTCCTTTACATGATCATCAGCTGACACCAGCCAGATCCCAAATGGCCACCAAAATGACCTCTCGAAGACCCCAAACCTCCTTACAATCCAATTTCCATACTAAGTGACACAAGGGCCAGCCACCATGACAGGACGCATCAGAGCAAGAAGAGGTGACGCCCGAGTCCCGGGAAATCCCGACCTATCCCAAGAAAAGACATGAAGGTTCCCCTCCTTTGCCAGCCTCTGCTCCCCCCATTCCCTTTACCCTTTACCCACGACACCCCCACCCTGGCAGGTTGGGAAGTCTTCTGGGGGCTGGGCCCCCCTTCTCCAGGCTTTGGGTGCTGAAGGCTTTGGGCCCAGCTCCAATTTCATTTTTGGCTTCAGGACACGGCGTAAAAAGAGATCTTGCATTTGGGGGTCTGGCCCCCCCCAGCAAGGGGGACCGACCAGTTGCTGGTGACATTGTGTGAGCAGAGCAGGAAGAGGTGGGCTGCTGGGGTTTCCTTTAGGTCATCTGAGGGAGGCAGACTCTTTGGGGGCTGGAGGATGGCAGGTGAGCTGGAGACCCTCACCTTACTGGTCAGGGGGGCCCTCGTCCCTGCTCTGGGTCCTTTATTTTACTCCCCTGGGGTCCTCCCTCCCTCCCTCCCTGTGCACTCCCAGACTCCGAGGCCAGGCTCTCTCCCCTCTGTGGTCCTTCGCCTTTGGTGTTTGGGGACATGGTCCTTCTTTGCGTCAGTTCTTCTCCCTCTGTAATCCCACCCGCCGGAAAGCGTCCAGACAGTCCTGGGCCTTTCTGGGCAGCCGATGGCATCCTCTTCATCCTTTCCGCAACCACTGACAGATTCTATCACTTTATGCCGTTTCCAAGAAACGCGAATGAAGAAATAGAAAACGAGTCACTCATCCCACCTTCCTGAACAAGGGTTTCTGGGGCCTTCTGCACATGGTCCCACACAGGGGAAGAAAATCCAGGTGACTCTTTGGCGGCTCCTTCTGCTGCATTCTTGAGCCTCCCCGGGCAGGGACTCCGATGACTCTTCTGTGCGCACACCCTTCCAGCCACCGGGAAACGCTGTGCCCTAGTCGATGCACGGCTCCTGAATGGGGCAGTGCCACACCTGCAGGAAGTCCCTGAGTTGGGCCAGCAGTGGGGCCACTGGCTACCAGCCCCTGCCAGTCCAGGTTCATGGTGGTGGCTCTGTTCACAGCCTCCACTTTGAGGCCCAGTGTTTTTTAAACCCCTTCCAGATCCAGGAGACCATGTCAGACGCGGCATCTGGACGGCCCTGGAGCAGGGGCCTGAAGAATGGAGAGATGGGGGAGGAGGGCCACTCACTGTCCTTCTCGCCTCCAACGGCCCGGGAGCCTAGAGCCTAGACGTGACTCCGCATGGTCACGTCTCCCCTCCTGCTCATGATGACACTCTGCATCCGTCACTCCTCCTGGGGATACTTGAACTCCTCACCAAAGCCTGCAGCAGATGAGATGCCTGCTAACACGTGTCGAGTGCTCTCCCTGGCCTCCCCTGGCTACTTCACACATGCTGTCATTTAAAATCCTAAGAGACCCCAGGAAGTGGCTGTGTTTGTGTCCCTTTGTTAAGAATGAGGAAACAGAAGCACAGAAAGGTTCGGGGACTTCTCCAAGGTTACGCAGCTATTAAGTGACAGAAGCAGGATTCGAACCCAGCACTCTGGCTGCAGAGCCCACCATGTGACCAGAATTGACATCACCCTTCTGAGAGTCTCCCCCAACCTTTCCCAAAGGATATGTGAGGGCTGGCACGTGACCATGGAGTCCGTGGTCCTTCACGTATCATGCCACCCTGCAGCCTTAGAAGACACGCTAGGGTCAGGTCAGGGTTAGGGTTAGGTGCCAATGAGGACAGAGGACTGTCCTCCAAGACATAGTACACACTTAAATCAATGGCCATTTTATGGCTGTGTTCCCGGTACAAAGAACACGTGGGTCTGGAAATGAAGGGGTTGAAAGTAGGACTGACCTTCACCGCATCATTCCTAGTGACCCACTTGCGGGAGTCTGCATCTTCTAGGCTCTGGGGGTCTAGAGGTCTTGGTGCCTAGGAAGGAAAAGCTTCTTCCAGAGGATACCACAAGAGTCTCTGTAGAACCTGGGTATGGAGGTACATGCCTGAAATCTCTGTGACTTGGAAGGCTGAGGAAGGAGGATTTCAAGTTCAAGGCCAGCCTCAACAATTTAATGAGACCCTGCCTCAAAATTAAAAAAAAAAAAAAATGAAAAGGGCCAGAGATGTAGTTTAGAGGTAGAGTGCCCTGGGTTCAATCTCCAACACCCCCACAAACAGACACACACAGACACACACACACCCAAAGAGTCCTTAGACTTTAAGCAACAGCGCCGTACAATAACTTTGGGCTCCTTTTGTCAAGAAATGAGCAGGCAAGGAAAAGGGTCACCATTCACTAGCCAGAGAAAGTAATCCCAACCATCATGAGCAGGTGAGACCACTGTTATATGACCAGGGCACCCGGGTGATAAGGCTGGACATTTCCTGACATATCCCTGCCCAGTTTTGATTGATTGATTGATTGATTTTGGGTACTAGGAATTGAACCCACGGGTGCTTAACCACTGAGCCTCCCCAGCCCTTTGTATTTTTTATTTGGAGACAGGGTCTCACTGAGTTGCTTAGGGCCTTGCTAAATTGCTGAGGCTGGTCTTGAACTTGTAATCCTCCTGCCTTGGCCTCCACAGCGGCTGGGATTACGGCATGTGCCACCCTGCTCAGCTCCGTGCCTGGTTTTATTGCTTAAATGAACAAGTGCAACAGTTATGGCCCGAGAAGGGCATGCGGACCAGGGACTCAGACCCCTCAGGCACGGAGCCTCAGTCACCCCGCCAGGTAAACCATCGCGATCAGTGAAGGTACTGGCCAAAGCTGAGGGAAGTCTAGACTGGGAGGCAGAGGAGGGGACAAAATGGGCATCTCGGCAGCTACAAGACCAGCAGCAAGAGCAGGGCCTGTAGTTTATCCCACTAATCATCCTACGTCAATCTCTGCCGGAAGAGAGAGCAGCCAGACCGTGGAGAGACGATGAGCTTTTGCTATAGAACAGGTTGATCCAAGAGGTGCAAGGGGTGGCCTCAGGTGGATGCCGTGCTGTGCCACACCAGGTTTCATTCCTTCAGGAAGAAAGTGGAACAACAGAATTCCTCACTCCCCCTTCATCCTGCCTCCCCTGCTAGATCAGGAGTCCTGAAGTTGCCTCCCCTGCTCAAGAACACTCAGTGGCTCCCCGCTGCCCACAGTCAATCCCTTTGGGACGGCATTCAGGGCGTTTAGCAAGCCTTCCCTGGCCTACCTGTCTGACTTCAGCTTTCAATTCCCATAGCTCTCATCCCTGCAGCTAACAAAAACTGGGCTAGTAGCCTTCCCTAGTCACAGTTATGGCTTCACGTTTTCATGTAGTTCCCTTCACATAAAACATTCTACACCTTCCCTAAGTCCCCTTTTGAGTGTCCAGTCCTTTACATCCTTCAGAGCAAGGCAGCAAGCGGAATGGTCAGCGTCCAAACTCTATAGAGTTACAAGGCCTGGGTTCACGCTCTAGCCACTTTGTGGCTGTGCTATCTGAACCAAGTTCCTTGACCTCTCTGTGCCTTTTTACTAAGAGAACTTAGTTCTCTCAGTTACTAAGAGATCTTACCTTTTAGGGAAAATTGAGGGATTAAAAGAGGTAATCTGGGCAAATTGTTTAAAACAGCACCTGTCACAGAGTAAACATGAAATACTGAATAATTGTGGGGTATTTTTTTGGAGGGGATGGGGGACGGGGGTGAGTGTCTAACATAGTTTTTTCTGTAATGTGCCACATAGTAAATAGCTCAGCTTTTGAAACGATTTGATTCTGTTGCTGAGGCACACAAACAGCCACAGATAGAAGGTAAATGAGGAGTGTGGTGTGTTCCAGTAAACTTTATGGATGGCACTGGTCAGTAGGTTTGCCATAGTTGCTAAGCCCTGTCGGCCCCTGGATTTGGGCCCAGCAAGAGTGCAAAGCCTTCCCTCACTCCCCAGGAGAGAGTAGCCTCTTCCAACAACCCTGAGTATTCTCAGTACCTTAAACTCTAGAGCAACCACCAGAAAGTCCCCAGTGTGGCTCCCTGCCCCGTCGTGAGGAGGTCAGAAGGGGCAGGAGGCCGCACTTGTGGTAGTGACCAGCTTGGATGCCGCAGGCAGACCACCCGGGTTCTTAGTGAGAGCCAGGCAGTCTCCGATGGCAATAAAGCGATAGCACATACCCTCTGGGCACCCCTGTGTCAACTCTAATGTCCAGACAATGCCAAATCTGTTCTTTTTATTATGATGTCACTTTTGTGACCTTCCAGCTATTGTGTGGTTGCTGTCAATCATCACAATGATGGTATTCTATTGCTGTATCAGTAGCCCTGCTTCTTCCACCCCCAAGGTCATGACCACACCTATAGCTGTCCCTTGGATTCTGTGGGGAATGGTTTTAACACACATGTGTTTGTGTGAATGTGTGTGTGTGTGTGAGTGTGTTACCAGGGATTGCACCCAGGGGCATTTCACGGCTGGTCTATATCCCCAGCCCTTTTGATCTTCTAACTTGAGACAGGGTTGCACCAAGTTGCCCAGGCTGGCCTTGAACCTGTGATCCTCCTGCCTCAGCCTCCCAAGTGGCTGGGTTTCCAGGTGGGCACCCCCACGCCTGGTCATCTCCAGATGACTTACGACACCCAATACAAGGTAGGTGTGATGGCAATGGCTATGACGCTCTACTGTTTAGGTGACAATGACAAGGAGAAAGTCTGTCCATGTTCAGTATATAGATGCGATTTTTTTTTCAAATATTTTTTAATGCACGATGTAGAACCCGTGGATAGGGAGAGTGGACCAGTGGACTGGCGACCCGGCTGGATGGTGGAGCTGGGTATTTACTTACGACTGGGGGACCCCTCCGATCCCAAAGCCCACCAGGCCTCGGAGCACCAGGATCCAGCTATACACAGGTGCAAAAGCACTGAGGATGCCGTAGTAGAGGGTCCAGAGCACGCTGATCTTCAGCCCCTGTGGAGAAGGAAGACTCCAGGTCACAAGGGCTTCTCAGCATGCACGGGTGGCCTGGGCCACAGGAGCTCTGGCTGGAGCTCAGAGGTAAGCACTTGCCTAGCACAGCTGAGGCCCTGGGTTGGATTCCAAGGACCACACACACACTCAAATAATAATAGTCGGGCTCGGTGGTGCACACCTGTCATCCCAGTGGCTGGGGAGGCTGAGGCAGGAGGATCACAAGTTCAAAGCCAGCCTCAGCAATGGCAACACACTAAGCAACTCAGTGAGACCCGTCTCTAAATAAAATGCAAAATAGGGCTGGGGATGGGGCTCAGTGGTTGAGTACCCCTGAGTTCAATCCCTGGTATCCCCCTCAAATAATATTAATCAAGCTCCCAATAAAGGAAGGCAGTGTAGCTCAGTGGTAGAGCAAGGCGTAGCTTCTGTGAGGCCCTGGCTTCCATCCCCAGCACCCATCCCCCAGAAAAAGCTGTAAATAGGATCTCAATGAAGAATCATCGCCCACGTTGGCTAAGGGATGCCTGGGGTTCTCCGTAACGGGTGATACCGATCCTTAAGGGCATAGTGAGAAAACTGTGGCCCTTCTTGATTGTCCCATTGATTAATATTTTATGCCAATCATGGCCCAAGGGTGTCAGCAACTCCACAAGGAAGGAGACAGGACAGACCCGTCCTGTGTGTCATGGTATCACAGAGGTCCCGCCCACCCCAACTGGCACCCAGGTGAGACTCTGTTAACGATGATCTGCACCTGGACCTTCCCACGGAGTCACGTAGGGACAGGGCTGGGGGGACACAGAGTTCACACACTGGCTTTTCTAAGAAGGAAATTCTAAGTAAAGCAAAGGAAGTTTTACTTTCTTTTTTTTCCACAACAACTTGACAACATCATTCATTTCAGAAAACCAAATTGTCGGTGACGACACTAGGTAAGATATTTGCGTCACTAGAGGATGGCTTCAGTATTAATCTGCACCCACCAGGGCTTCTTTGTGAACAGAGAGATGCACACTTTACTGCACAAAGCCAAAGATGAAAAGAAAAAGCTTAGAACACGTTAGGGTAAATCCAAACTCACTTATAATTAGGGGCAAATATTGACTAGTTCCTTGTACCGACTAGGTCAAGCTCTATGTGAGCATTTCATGTTGAAAATACATCTTATTTTATGTAATGACCTTTAAATTTTTTTTTTCCTTACTTGCAGCATTACAACTTGTCACTTTTTTAGAGTTTGTGAAGGACTGGATTATTTTATCTCTGAAATCAATATCTAGATTGTTAAGAAGGAATTTACCATAGTTTAATCTGGAATGTCCTCCAAGGGTTGGTGTGTGAAAGGCTTGGTCCCTAGGTTGGCAGTACTGAGAGGTTGTGGAACCTTTAAGAGGTGGGGCTTAGCAGGGTTGGGGCTTAGTGGGAGGGGGGCTAGTGAGAGGTGGGGCTTAGTAGGAGGTGGGGCTTTGCAAGGGTGGGGCTTAGTGGGAGGTGGGGCTTAGTAGGAGGTGGGGCTTTGCAGGGGTGGGGCTTTGTGGTAGGGAGGCTAGTGAGAGGTGGGGCTTGGTAGGAGGTGGGGCTGTGCAGGGGTGGGGCTTAGTGGGAGGTGGGGCTTGGTAGGAGGTGGGGCTTTTCAGGGGTGGGGCTTTGTGGGAGGTGGGGCTTGGCAGGGGTGGGGCTTTGTGGGAGGTGGGGCTTGGCAGAAGGTGGGCTTAGGGCGGTTTAAAATCATTGGGGGTGTGGCCTAGAGGGGACTGTGGAAGCCTGATCTCTTCCTCTTTCCCTCTCTCTTTCTGCTTCTCTGCCATGAGGTGACCAGCTCTGCTTCACCAAATGCTCCCCATCATGATGGGCTGACTCGCCACAGGCCTAAAAGTGAGGGGACAAACTGACTCGGCACCAAAACCCCTAAACTATAAGCCACAACAAGACTTTTTCTCTATTTTTTTTTTTTTTGGTTGGGGTTACTGGGGATTGAACTCAGAGGCACTGGACCACTGAGCCCCATCCCCAGCCCTATTTTGTATTTTATTTAGAGACAAGGTCTCCCTGAGTTGCTTAGTGCCTCGCTGTTGCTGAGGCTGGCTTTGAACTCGTGATCCTCCTGCCTCAGCCTCCTGACCCGCTAGGAATTACAGGCGTGGGCCACCGGGCCTGGCAACCTTTTCTCTTTATAGGCTGATTTATCTCAATTATTTGTTGCAATAAAGAAAAGCGGAGTAGGGCCTGGGGTTGTGGCTCAGCGGTAGAGGGCTCGCCTGCACATGCGACGCCCGGGGTTCAATCCTCAGCACCACATAAAAAATAAAAAAAAGGTATTGTGTCCAATACTACAACTAAAAAAAGAAAAAAAAAAAAGCAGACTAACACATGATTAAAAACGTTCAGGGCCTTTTAAGCAGCAGGGCACTGTGTCCGTGCAGGCTGAGACCCACAGCGGGACACAAGGCTTGAGGACGAACATGGTGCAGATTCCTGGAGCATTAATTACTCTGAGACAGTGAAAAAAAATTAATGGTGACTGTAATTTAAGATACTATTTTATGTCACAGTCACCATCATACTTGAGGGAGTAGGATGCAGACTTTATGTGGCTTTTAAACCTGCCATTCGAGGTCCAGAAGGGGTCTCTGCCACACCCCTCCCAGGTCACCAAGGTGGAGCTCAGCCTCCTGCCCCTGAACACTTCTGGAGGGAGGTGTAAACCATGCTGCTTTCTGCTCTACTCTTAAACTGAATTTTAAGACACTGAAACGGAAATCTCTGCCTAGAGGTCCTTTAAAAATGGTTATAATGAATAGAAAATTTAAATCATTTTGTATCTCCTTGCAAGGAAGTTGTTGAATTTTTTTTCAGTACCTAGGGCCTTGCGTGTGCTAGGCCACTCTTCGGACACCGAGCTACAGCCCCAGCCCCTTACATTTTACTTTTTGTATTTATTTTTTGCAGTGCTGGGGATTGAACCAGGGCCTTGTGCTTTCTAGGCAATTGCTTTGCCCCTGAGCTACATCCCTGATTCCTTTTTTTTTTAGTTGTAGTTGGACACAACACTTTTACACCTTTATTTCACTTGTTTATTTATTTATTTTTTTGTATGTGGTGCTGAGGATCGAACCCAGGGTCTCGCATGTGCGAGGCGAGCGCTCTACCGCTGAGCCACAACCCCAGCCCCCCTGATTCCTTTTTAAAATTTTGTTTTGAGGCAGGATCTTGCTAAACTGCTCAGGCTGGCCTCAAACTTGCCATTTTTCTTTCCTCATCCTTCCAAGTAACTGGGAAAAAGTTCTTTCTTTTTTCTTGGAATCTTCATTCTTCTAAGTATGTCAAAAAGAAAGTGTCCAGCAATGCTGACCTGCTTTAATACCTGTTCATCTCTTTCTCTCCTCTTCTTTCGAACCCAGAGCCTTACCCATGCTAGGCACAATTTCTACCACTCAGTTACACTGGCAGCACCCATCTCTTTTTCAGGGAGAAGGTGGTGGGGTAATGGTGACTGGCTAGAATTTAACTGCACTGCCTGGTTTGCATTGTTTATTTCTGCAGATATTTCTCACTCGGGACTGATTTTCCATTTAAGATTCTCCGTAAAGTTTCCTTGTTTTTGGTACTGAGGGTTGAACCCAGGGGCACTGAACCACTGAGCCACATCCTTCGCCCCTTTTTTTATTTTGAGACAGGATCTCGCCAAGTTGCTGAGGCTGGCATTGCTTGCAATTTGCCTGCCTCAGCCTCCCGAGTTGCTGAGGTTATAGATGTGGCCACTGTGCCTAGCTCCTTTTCTTAAAAAAAAAAAAAAAAAATTAATTTAAAAAATTTTAAATTTTAACTTTAATTAATCAATCCATTTTTTTTTAATGCAGTACAGGGGATGGAACCCAGGGGCACTTTACCACTGAGCCACATCCCAGAGCTTTTTATCTTCTACTTTTGAGACAGGGTCTCACTAAATTGCCTAGGCAGGCCTCTAAATTGTGATCTGCCTGCCTCTGCCTCCCAAGTTGCTGGGATTACAGGTGCAAACCACTGTCACTGTGCTGTCTCATTTAATTTTTTAAAAAAAATATTTATATGTGTTGCTGAGGATCGAACCAAGGGCCTTCACGTGCTAGATGAGCACTCTACCGCCGATCCCCAGCCTCAGCCCATCATTTAATTGGTTTTAAAAGCAAGTTGATATAAAGAAAGACAGTAAAGGGCTGGGGGTGTAGGTCAAAGGTAGAGCACTTTCCTACCGTGTGCAAGACCCTGGTTTCTATGCCCAGCACTAACTATAGCAGTGGCCCACTTTATGCTTTGAATATAGCCCTGCTTCTCTGTCACTGTGACTTGGTGGGGGGCAGGGTACCAGGGATTGAACTCAGGGGCACTGGACCACTGAGCCACACCCCCAGCCCTATTTTGTATTTTATTTAGAGACAGGGTCTCACGGAGTTGCTCAGTGCCTCACTTTTGCTGAGACTGGCTTTGAACTTGCGATCCTCCTGTCTCAGCCTCCTAAGCTGCTGGGATGACAGTTGTACACCCCACGCCCAGCCACTGTGACTTATTTTTTAAAGGGACGTGTTTCTTTTTTTTTTTAATATTTATTTTTTAGTTGTAGTTGGTCACCATACCTTTATTTTATTTATTTTTATGTGGTGCTGAGCATCAAACCCAGGGCCTCGCACATGCTGGTCCAGCGCTCTACCACTGAGCCACAACCCCAGCCATCGCCCCCCCCACCCCAAAACACACACACGTTTCTTTCTCTTCCTCTCTCCCTTCTCCTCCCTAATCTCTCCCTGCTCCCTAATCTCCAGGGAAACAGGATTACCTTTCTTCCCCATCCCAGGCAGAGTTATCTGTCCTTGAGCACACACCCACCAGAGGAATGAAGACTTTGGGAGTGGCACCAGAAATGACTATCTCCCAAATTAATAAGTGAATTACAGCTCTAGCCGAGAACACTTGGAATGTAGCCTTTGAATCACCTCTTTAAAAACCCCCTGTTCTGCTGA